GAGACTTTCTCTTTACGCGAGACAAAGTAGACTCTAAAGTTTGCCCCTGCAACTATAGAGCTACTCAAGATCCTACCTATATCCTCCTTAGCTGTACGCTATATAAGGAGGCTAGGATAAAGATGCAGGAGGCGAGCAAGGACCCCCTATCGCTAGCCTTCCTGCTAAACACGAGCGTAGGCATACAGGCTACTATTGCCTTTATTGAAGAAACTAGGGCTGCAACACAGGCCTGGCACAAAGGAAACCTCGAGAACTAGGGCAACACCTATACTAGGTGGCCTCGCCCTACACCCACCCTACCTCTCTCTTTTACCCGCAAGACCCCCTTCTACCTCCCTCTAGACTAGGCTACGAGCCTCACCTCGATTTAGATAGCCCCCTCCCCCACCTACACCAAAGTGATAGCACTACGTAGATACTTGCGGGCCTAGCCTGCACGTCTTATATAGCCCACCGGCTGAGACAGGACGTAAAACCAAAATAATAATAATAATATATGGGGTAGAAGTATTCTGGGAGCTCATTGAACAGTTAGCTCCTCTTAGAAGAGAGCATAGTACCAATCAATACGGAGATATTCACCTCACCTTGGTCTCACGAACCATCGCCGTTGATCAAGAGATGAATTTGATAACTAAAAGAAACTATTAATCTCGAATGCGGCGATATCTCACCGTATCCCTGTTGTCTATGGGAGTTGCAATGTAGAGTGATACAGATCAGGTATTGTTCTCAAGGGACAGTGCATCCCCAAAGTATCCCTTAGACTCCTAATGCTCCCGATATGACAAGTTGCCATCCACGGACTCAACAAGCCAGAGCCTACCATACTGTATCTAATCATCCAAACCCAACCACACTGGATATCTCATCCCTTTCTCGTCTATATGTGTGTCCTGAAATCGCACGTGCCGGATAGACTTAGCGCCTTCCGTCTTTGCTTTCTCAATGAGCATTGCACATCTGCCCCAGACGTTGGAACGAGCGATTTTATAAGCTTCGTCGTATATAGATTCTGTAAGAGAGCTTTCTCCACGAACAATAAACTGAACGTCTCGATAAAATCCGCTTTCGACCGCAAACATCAGTGCTGATTCGCCAGTCCCATCTTTTGACTTCGCGTTGACGTATGCACCGTTCTCAATCAAGACGCGAGCAAGATCATAACGCTTGTTCCTCAGAGCCAGCATGATAGGTGTAATGTCTGTTTTGGTGGAGGAATAAGGGGTGTGCGTGTTGGAATCCACAATCTTGTGCTTGAGAAAGAACTGCAGAGTCTTTGTACCACCATATCTGTAGAGGTGATGATAATCGCCAGAATTGACGATCCAGTTCTTGACTGCACAGTGTATTGAGGTAATGAAGCATCCGTATCTGAGATGGAAAACCCTTGGGAGCAAGGCAAGGTAGCTATGTTCTATACAATATTCGAGTAGATCATCCGCGGAATTGTTTGCAGTTGACAGCAAGAGCATCTTGTTGCCGACTATATAGTCAAACAATAAGTGTGCTGTTCTTGGTTTGCGTAATTAAATGGCTAGTCGTAATGAGCTAATGACTGCGAGAGCAACATCGGATACCTTGCCTTGACCGGGGGCACTGTCACTTCCCGCTTTTCTGAGAAGACATGTAATAGTTATAGACAGAGATCTGACGCATCCAGAGATCGTTGCAGCATCGAGGGCGTTTGGTAATGCTTTGCATGCACGTTCAAGCAGGTCCGAGCCGGTATTAGCGTATTGAAGCGAAGCAGTGGAGTCGTTAAATGCTGCTGCAATGACAGGCATGATGGCTTGTATCTTTGGGATTTGTACCAATGCGCTTGAATCCTTTTTGCCTCTGAGCCGTGACTCAAGAGAGACAGGCCACAATGCGATTAGCATGGTCCATATTCTGAAAGTGCACTGAAAGCGTGGTGACTCCTGGCTCTTTTCCGTTTTTAGACCCTGCGACAAAGCAAAGTCTACACATGTTCAAACAAAGTCAAAGATGGTGTTATCTTCGTCCATGCGACGAATGGCCCGCTTAGTGAGGAAAAGAGCACGCCGGGAACGAAGGATATTCTTGAGTTGTTGGCTTCCGAAAACCTCGTGGAGAGGTACCTTAGTAGCCTGCTCGTATATTTCTATGGTTACGTATTGTTTGAAAGTTTCTAGACTTCTCAGCCTCATTGCCCTGACGTTTGGGAATATTTTATCAAACTTATTGCACACTCCACGATACTTGACGGCATGCTTCAGCATTTGTGAGCCCACTAGAAAACTGATGATGTTTTCGAATATCTCGGGCGGCAGTTCCAGCAAAGGCATCTTTGCGTTAGGGTTGTGGTGAGTGGACCGGAGAGATAAAGCGACGGAGATGGAAGGTTAACTGGGAAGGAGCGATGCCACGCGACGCGAGATACACAATTTTACTTTAGTTCTGACGTCACCGAACTCACTTTCACCTCGCCTCAATGATTCTATAATACCAGGTGTACGAGTGAGAAAAACCATGGCGGAGAGACCCTGGCTCAGTCCCATCCCGGATATTGCCGTCACATCGCGTAACAGTAAAACAATGTGGTAGCCGAACACACTACTAGAGTCAATCCAAGCGTTTCGGGATACCCGTTACAACGTGATACTTTTTCTTCTCGAACTTCGGCTGTTCTTCAACACGCTTGGATACAAGTGTGTGCGATGTGAATCTGTTCTGCAACTCTCGTCCTTTCACCACAGCAACCTCCGGCGGCACGAATGTACTGAGGGTGTTTTTACCTTCGCCTTGGTTTTGCATACTATGCCAGAATTCACACAATTAGACACAACAAAAAAATGAAGCCATAGGAAAGCCTTGCAACAGTGTTGACTGGCATGCAATTTGTAGGCGCTGAATGGCCCAATAACAATTCGTGCACGTAGTGTGACGAATAAGCGCGCGCAATCTGTTCACAGCTGCAGCCACCAAACAGCTGTGAAGCTGGCACACAGCCACGATCTGGCCAAGACTATCATGTCATTCCTTCTCCAGCCTACTTTCTGCTGCCTAGACAAGCTTTCTCACTTGAGAGCCTGTCATATCGTGGACCGCCTCTTGCAGACGACTGCACCCATTCACCACCAATCCATCCCATTCAATGCGCCTTCTCAAACGTAACGAATATGGCGCAATCACTATCGAAAGCTTCAGCGACGGGCTGGCGCCTCCTTATGCGATATTGTCTCACACATGGGGCAAAGACAAAGACGAAGTAGCCTTTGCAGATATCGTCGATGGGAGGGGGAAGGGCAAGGCCGGCTACAGAAAGATCTACTTTTGCGACATACAAGCACAGCGTGATGGTTTACAGTACTTCTGGATCGATACGTGTTGCATCAACAAGGACGACAAGGCTGAGCTCTCTCAAGCTATCCAGTCCATGTTTCGTTGGTACCAGAACGCGAGAACATGCTATGTCTATCTATCGGATGTACGAACAAAGAAAAGAAGATTCGAAGAAACAGTAAATGGGCCCGACTGGCAGGCTATGTTCAGGTCTAGCCGCTGGTTTACGCGTGGCTGGACGCTCCAAGAGTTGATCGCGCCGTGCACGGTCAGGTTCTTCTCCCAAGAAGCAGACGAACTTGGTGACAGATGTTCGCTGCGTTTATTGATCAACAAGATAACAAGCATTCCCCTTGAAGTGCTTGATGGAGGTGCATTGTCTCAATGTAAAACTGATGAACGGCAGCGATGGGCAAACCACAGGAGTACAAAACTTAAAGAAGATAGGGCATATGCTTTATCAGGTCTTTGTGGTGTAAACATTGCGCCTGTGTATGGCGAGGGTGAAGAAGAAGCGTTCAGACGGCTTCGCCGTGAGATTGAGAAGCTGGAAGACTGCGTTCGTGATTTGCGCGATAGCGATCCTCGTATCGACAAAAAGCGCATTGAAGAAACGAAGGGTGGTTTGCTGTTTGGCTTATATCACTGGGTCCTGGATAATCGCACCTTCCAGCAGTGGCAGTACGACCCTACTAGCCAACTGCTCTGGATAAAGGGCGATCCTGGCAAAGGCAAAACAATGCTGCTATGTGGCATAATCGACGAGATACAGAAGAATATAAGACACAATATGGTCGCGTACTTCTTCTGCCAAGCGACAGACTCGCGCATCAATAACGCTGTAGCGGTTCTGCGAGGACTGCTGTATATGCTTGTAGATCAACAGCCACTCCTGGCGCGGCACGTCCAAAAGCAATACGAGCATGCAGGCAAACAGCTATTTGAGGATGCAAACGCATGGGTGACACTGAGAGATATCTTCAGAGACGTCCTTCATGATCCAAGCCTTGGCAGGACATGTCTCGTCGTCGATGCCCTAGACGAGTGCATCGTTGATCTACCAAAGCTGCTAGATTTTGTGGCTAAACAGACATCGGCATCTTCGCACGTTAAGTGGATCGTGTCTAGTCGCAACTGGCCTGAAATTGAAGCACAGCTAGAGCGGGCAGGACACAAAATCAAGTTGAGTCTTGAGCTGAATGCAGACTCAATAGCCATAGCGGTTGGCGCCTTCATTGAGAAAAAGGTGAAAATTTTAGCTACCGAGAAGCAGTATACACCAGAACTACAGCTAGAAGTGCTTCAGTATCTGACCTCAAACGCTAACGACACTTTCCTGTGGGTGGCGTTGGTTTGTCAGAACCTGGAGAAGATACCTACAAGGCATGTACGGAAAAAGCTTAACGAATTCCCACCTGATCTGAACGATCTGTATGAGAGGATGGTGAGCCAGATCAGTGGGTTAGAGGATGCCGGAACCTGTCTACAAGTTCTAGCATTGGCGGCAGTTTCATATCGGCCTATAACCATCTCTGAACTAGTCACTCTAGCCGAAGAAGTTCAGAAGAATGCTGACGACGTAGAGGAGATCGTCGCTTTCTGTGGATCTTTCCTCACGCTACGAGAAGGCATTATTTATTTTGTGCATCAATCTGCCAAGGACTTTCTGCTCACTAAGGCAGCCTCGAAGATATTCCCAGATGGTGCAGAGGCTGTTCATTGTTCGATCTTCTTGAGGTCGATGGATGTCATATCTAGTACACTGCACAAGAACATATATGATCTTAAAGCGCAAGGAATTGCTAACGAGGACATCAGCATACCTGCTCAAGACCCTCTCGCGTCTGTTCGCTACTCTTGCACTTACTGGGCGGACCATCTCTGTGACTCGAATCCTGACTGGTCCGCTAATAATGCAGAGAAGCCACAACTTGCAGCTACAATTGAGGGTTTTTTTAGGGAGACATATCTGTACTGGATCGAGGCTCTCAGTCTATGTCAGAGCGTAGAACAAGGCATTGTAGCCGTTACTAAAGTGCTTCAACTGGTGGAGGTATGGCTGAGACTAATAATTTATAGCCAGTACGCTAAAAAGGCCAGAATGATCGAAGTCGGGTTGAACTTGCCTCTCTCATAAATGATGCATGGCGTTTTATCCTGCACCACAAGAGTATGATTAAAGAATGGCCACTGCAGATCTATACATCAGGGATTCTGTTCAGTCCTCGAACAAGCATTATCAGAAACATTTTCAAATCCCAAGCACAAGGGTGGGATATACAGACACATCAAGAACACAGCTGGAGCGCGTGCATGCAGACGCTCGAGGGTCATAGCAATCGGGTTAAATCCGTCGCCTTCTCGTCCGATGGAACGAGGCTGGCATCAGCATCAGACGACGAGACGGTTAAGATCTGGGATGCGAATAACGGGCAGTGTCTACAGACGCTTAGGGGGCATAGCAGTTGGGCCGAATCAGTAGCCTTCTCACTCGATGGAGCGAGGCTAGCGTCAGTGTCAGACAACGAAGTTAAGATCTGGGACGCTTATAACGGGCAGTACTTACAGACCCTCGAAGGACATAGCAGTTGGGTCAATTTAGTAGCCTTCTCGCCCGATGGAACGAGGTTGGCATCAGCATCAGACGACGAGACGGTTAAGATCTGGGACGCGTATAGCGGGCAGTGCCTATGGACGTTCGATTTGCATTTGCAACAGGCCTCCTCAGTAGCATTCTCGCCCGATGGAACTCGGCTAGCGTTAGCGTCAGGCCACGAAGTTAAGATCGGGGATGTGTATAGTGGGGGGTGTTTGCAGACGTTCGAGGGTCATAGCAGTTGGGTTCCATCCGTAGCCTTCTCGCCTGATGGAATGAGGCTAGCATCGGCGTCAGCGGATATGACAGTTAAGATCTGGGACACGCAAAGTGCGCATCACTTACCAGAACTTGTGAGGTATCGCTATCGGGTCAGATTGGTAGCCTTCTCGCCCGACGGAACGAGGCTGATATCGGCGTCAGACGAGGTTAAAATCTGGGATGCGTATAGTGGGCAGTGTCTGCAGACGCTTAAAGGGAATAGCTATAAGCTCGACTCAGTAGCCTTCTCGCCCGATGGAGCATATATTGTTTCCAATCAAGGCAAGTTTCGCCTTGATGCCTCCGTTGTTGGCACCCCTAGCAACATCATCAATCTTGGCCATACACACAATGTTGATAGAGATATACGCTTGGACAAAAACTGGATCCTAATAGAAGGAGAAAAGATTCTCTGGATTCCTCCAGAGTATCGCGCTTGCACTTCAGCTATCAGGGAAAACAAGGTTGCAGTTGGCACGTGGTATGGTACAGTATGGATATGCACTATCGATGGCTCAGTTGGAACTTCTTAGAGAATAATATCCTTCTTGATGTAACCTGATACCTCTCGGAAGAAGAAGTCTCAAAAGCCATTTCAACCATTCGTACTCGCACTGCGAAGTGATACAAGTCACACACGGCCGAAGTTTGCACGGGTACAAGAATGAGGTCCATAGTTCGGTGTAGCGATCAGTAGTGAAAGGAACATATGTCTAGAAAGCTATGACAACTATGTAAATTCTGAAAAAAGAATATCATATCAAAATACGCATCCAAAATCCATCTACCATACATGACCCTTGGACTGCTTAATCTCCTTCACATTAATATTCTTCCAAAGGAAGATACCCACAGCAGCAAGAACCCACAGCCCCGTCGCAATCGACAGTAGTCTCGTGAACGCATCTTCATATGCGCGCTGAATCGCCAGACGCGTGGGCGATCCCATGGGAAAAGACAGCTGCGTCGTGATATCACTGTATATCATGACGAGATTCGGCAAGTCGTCCGCAGGTAAATACTGCATCAGTCGCGAAGGCAGGATATCCGTCCAGACAGATGCGGCGATGGTATACCCTATTGCGCCGCCAATGTTGCCAAAGATGCTGACGATGGCAAGCATGGAGGCGACGTTGTCGTGGGAACCCGCGGATAGAATGGCGATTTCGTCGGTGATGATGAGAAGGCCCTGCGAGATGGAGATGAAGAGGAAGCACATGACGATGTAGCCGATGTTGCCGGGGGCGAGGAAATGGATCATTAGGCCTTGGCCGAGGATGCTGAGGGGAAGACCGACGACGATGGAAATGAGCTTGAAGTGACCGGTTCGGTGGATTACGTAGCCGGCGGAAAGGGCGACGAGGACGTTTAGGACGGTGAAGGATTGGGTGACGTAGCTTGCGTTTTTGATGCTGAGACCCTGAACGACTTGGAGGTAGGAGCCGAAATAACTGTTCCAGACAAAGTAGCTGGCGAAGAGGGAGGTGCAGAGAAGACAGGCGCCGAGGACGGTTCGGTCGCGGAGGAGGCGGTAGGGAAGGAAGCAGACGGGGGCGAAAAATTTCTCCCAGATGACGAAAAGGATCATGAGGACGATTCCGACGACTAGCATGCTCACAACTAGCGGCGATGACCAGCCTCGACCTTGTGTGGTGTAAAGGTTGAAAGGAAGGAGGAACAAGCCGACACCAGCAGAGAGCAGAACAAGGCCGACAGCATCAAATTCGCGGCTGTAGTGCATGATGGACTGCATCGTACTGCGCCCACTGTTACGCTCAGGGATAAGGCCAAGACGTTGTGCCTTGCGGTAGTTGCTGAGAAGAAGGCCATACAGCGGCAGAACAACAGCTGGTACAAGGATGCAGAACATGCCAAAAGCCCATCGCCATCCAGGTCCCCCAAGAAATCCTTCAGCAACAGGTCCAGCTATCCATCCCGTGATCAAAGCCGTCGTGTTCATGAGTGCCTGCATCAGTCCCCGATTCTTCAGCTTCGTCGTGTCGGCAATGAAGACAGACATAATGTACTGAATGCCATTGTTGCCGACGGTATGGAAAATCATAGCCGCAGCATAAGCTTCGACGCCGTTGCAAGCAGCCATCATGATTAACCCCATGGTTCCGAGACCCAGGCAGAATAGGAGACCGGGGGGACGACCAAAGACGTCGATGACTTTGGCGATAGTAAGGTTTGTAACGCCACCAATCACACTGCTCAGAATACTGACAGTGGGCGTGAGCGAGTGCGCGAAGAAAGCTGAAGTGACATAGGGCAACAAGGCAAGAGCAGTGCCTCCCAGCAGTGTCTCGACGAAGTAAATCAACCAGAGCATGATGTATGCTACGATAAGACTCGTCTTCGTCCACGCCATAGTAGTAGCCTCGATAGCCTGGACACCAGCCTGAGCATCAGGATCTGGATGCTCCTCATTGCTATCGTCGTTGAAAGGAGAATTCGTCGATCGATCCGAACTGACAACATGCGGCCTTCCATTCTTGGCCTCGTCTGCACCCGCAGACATGTTGGAGGTTGGCGATAAGAGAGGCTCCTCGACAGAAGCACGAGAGTGAGAAGAAGAGGAATGCGAGGACTCCCGTGAGTAAAACGGGGATGGCGAGATGTACACCATTATTACAGACCAACTACGGAGTCCCTCTTTAAGAAAATGATGGTCGGGGGTTTGAGCAAATAAGCGAAAGGGGAGGGGGGTGCTTGAACATGGCTGTAGGATAGTAAAGTGGGGGCAGAAAGGTATGGGATTCAAGCTAAGGGATATGCAGGCGCGGCGCAGTGGGTCCTCATGTTGGTAGGAATGAGCACATTTGCGATTGTTGTGGCGTAAACCCCCCTGCTCATGCGCATGTATGTGGTGAGACGGCTTAGTTACGGCGGGAAATGTGCCTTACGTCTATCCTGCACCGTGCCTTGCCTATTGTGCATGAGATAAAGATTGAACCGGTGGTGTGCTTACCGCCCGAGTTTCGTGGCGACCCTTACTATACGCCTGACGGAGCGTTGCCGATGGTAAGCTGGTGGTCAGCTTTCCCTGTGTTTCCCCCCTTCCAAAACTTGAGTGTCTTGTTTTCACGACTTATATTGCGATAATATATTCTGCATACAAAAATCACCCAAAGAGAATAAAAGTGCATAATCCGAGACGTGATGTACTCTACAGTGGAGGGTGGGGGAAATTATCCGAAATGCAAGTTGAAAAGTATAGAAAATAAATATCAGCCTGTGTAATACTCCCGTTCGCCATTTTAAATCCAACACCTCTGTACTAGCAACTGGCCACATCGACCAGATGTGCGTACTTTGTGAACTCCTCGTCACGTGCAAGCATCTCCCGTTCCTCAGGGAAGGTACCCAACGCCAACTCTACTCCACCATCCGCTTTTAGCGGATATACCACCAAAAACCTAAATCGGCCGCTGCCTCGTTCCAGTTGAGGCCTCATCGTCTCTGGAGAGCCGCCATTGGCGAAGTAGCGACCACCAAAACTAATCTCGCTCATCTGGAACAGCATCATATTGGAAATCATGGCGTGCATGTGGTCGAGACCCATGTTTGCCGTAGAAAACCTCGAGTGATCTGGCAGTGATTGCAGCAGAGTGAAAGCATCGTGTACTAACGAAGGCGTCATACGTGCTGCGGAACTACGCAACACTTGCGCAATGTGCAGAATACTCGTTTGCTGGTCGCAAAGCTTCTCTACAGGCATGCTGGTGCGATTGAGCGTAAGCAGGCTGCCCATGTATGTAGACGGAAGCAGAGACGAAAAGTATGGTCGACCGTCAGTGGGCAACTCCAAGATCGAACACTCATCAACATCGAATTCTCGGCCACTGTCCTTGGCTACAGAGTAGCGGGCCCTCAGTGCTGAGCGCCAGAAGAATGCTTGAACAATGTCGCTGATGGAGGGCACAGAACCGTTGAGTCCCAACTCTCTCGCGACATCTTCTTTCAACAACTGAACTTTCTCGGGAGGAATGAGAAATAAAGTCGTGTCCATCTTCCGCTCTGCAGCGGGTAGTGGCCATACTGAGTGCAAGGGATATTTGAGAAGCGACGTTCCAGGCTCGGTTTGTTGTGACGAATGCTTCGCCAGTGCTTCATCTGATGGAACAAATGGCAAAAAATTCCATACACTGGGGTCGATCTCCTCCACCGGTCGCGCATATCCCTCCAGTTCATGAAGAACTTCAGGCAGATTGTGATTAAAGCTCTCTGCATCGAACCACTCGCAGGGGGCCGAGGCATCCCCTTGAAGATTCTTACAGTTCTCAGCCCAGGCTTTAACAGCAAGGACGGCTCCAACCCCGTCTAAGCAGCAATGATTCAGATCGACAGCTAGAATACATCCGCCCTTGACAAAGTTGGCTTGCGCAACAAGTATGTCTGCGGGTAGCTGTGGGAAGGTATCTTGTCTCAACACCTGCTCATCCCTGAAGGCGGACGGTACGAATCCGCCATCTCGCAGCGTCTCAAAAGATGGAAGTTCATCGCTCAAGTCCTTGAATACTAGACGTTGGCGTGCTGGAGAGCCGAAAGGTGGAATTGAAACGCATAAATCACCTTTCGTAAAGCCAACTTCTTGCTCTGAGCATTCAATCATTTTCCCTCCAAGAGCAGGGATAAGCTCCAGAGTTTTGTCGAGTCCCGCTTGTAGATTGGCAAAAGTCTCCTCGAAGGTTGCATCTGCGCGAAGAGGGAAGTAGAAAATGAGTCCCATGTAGTGGTTGGGATTGACATAGTCGAAAGGATTTAGTCTAAAAGACTGATGTGCTTTGCGCCGTGCGAGCAACTGTTGCATCTTTGCTTGTTGACTCTGCACCTGTCGCTTCGTAACAGTGGTGCCTTCTTCTTCAGCTATCATCGACTCAAGCGCAGCGTTGAACCTTGCTAGAGTAGGATTTGCGTAAAGATGGCGGGGAGCGAGTTTGCTCAAACCCTTGGTCGCTGCTCGGACCGCATTGACGGCTGCTGACACTCCAAGCGAGTCGAGGCCAAGTGCAAACAAGTCATCGTCAACAGAAGCGTCGCGAATGGCGGGTTGAGATGATGAAAGAATTTCTCGAATAGAGTTCTGCATGGCCGCTGTAGAACTTGTATCAACCACGAAGCTGGTCTCCTGTTCCCGAGAGCTATAGAATCTCTCGATGTATTCTTCGTAGAGAACCAAGGTAGCTTTGCGCTTGACCGTGCCTTTGTCAGTACGAACAAACGGCTTGTCCTGCTGAGCAAAGCAAACATAGTCTCGCGATAATTTCACAGTAAGCCGCGACAATGACATAGATGTCTCAATATGAGACCAGATACTCTCAGTCATTTCTTCATTCTTCGATAGAGGGTCTTTCAGCTCTATGAGAAGCCCGGCCTGAGCCTTGTTACTACCCACAACCAGACATCCATTGATCGCAGGATGCGTACCAATGAGAGCCTCGATTTCAAGGGGCAAAATTTTGTATCCGTTGGACAAAATGATTAGATCGTCGTTGCGACCATTGAAAGCCCATAGGTTTGGCTTCTCAGAATGTTGCCGGTACAAGTCCTTGAAATTTACAAAGGACTTGTCAGGGAAGGTGTGAAAGATGCCCTGAAACAAGGATGCATGCTCATTGCGATACACCCAGTGCTCAAAGACTCCTGGCTCTACTTCCTTGAACTCGAATCCAGAGTAAGGATGAAAAGCAAACCAAGACCAGTCCTCTCTGTCTACCACAAGGTTGCCGATGAAAAGCCCCTCTGTCGTTCCGGTCAGGTTAAGCACTCTGATGACGTCGTTGACCTTTCCAGCACTTGAGAGAGTGACCGGACCGCCAGATGCGCAGATAAACTTGGAAGGTGCTGACTGGAACTTGGCCAACACATCTGGTGTCTCTCCGAGCTCGTCGACAAGCGAAGGCACCATGCTCCATATGTTGATTCTCGAGGATTCAACAAGCTTCTCAATGAGTGAGATATTTGGGATGACACCAGATGGCCCAAGCACGCAGTGAAGGCCAAAAAGGGCGGGCATCAGAATGTCCATGATGATTCCTGCGCCATGACACATGGGAAAAGATGAGTATATCGAGTCGCCTTCCTTCCAGTCAGTAGTCCAAGGAACCATACCATCAACTGGGGGAAGCAAACGAACTGCATCCATTGTCCCGATGAGTCCGTGAGTCCACGGAATGGGCTTTGGAACGCCTGTGGAACCCGATGTGTGGAGATAACAGAAAGGCTCAGTGGAAGCCTCATCGAAATTCTTCGTGTAGGGAAATGGCTTGGGACTCTTTGCGTCCAAGAGTTGATCAAGTAGCGGAATCTCGAGTAACTTCATCTGACGTTTCTGTAGAACATCCTCGACAAGAGGTACCATTGCTACTTCGCTTGCTTTGGCCCAGATTTGGCACTGAGTTGCTTCTAGCACTGCCAATGCTCCTTCAGTACTATTCTTAGGAGAAAGGTAAAGGGCGGCATAGCCGACTTTGACGCAGGCATAAGTAATCAGAATGTGACGTAGATCATGGGGGCCGATATAGCCAATGGGCTGGACCGATGCTGACTGCCCAACCTGCTCTTGGAGCCACCAAGCTGTCTTGTCGACAGCTTCTACAAAAGCTTTGGCAGATATGTCTTTGAACTCTAGGGATTCGTTTGAAGCACTTGCAATGGAGAATACAACGCGTTCAGGGTCCACCGCTGCTAGTTGGTCCATAATTTGAGGAATAAGTCTTCGCCCGTACGGTATCTCACCAGCATCGCTGAGTGATAGAACCTGAGTAGTTTTGACGTTATCGCTAGGTTCACTCCAGGAAACGATCGGTGAATGACCATGAGATGTAGGCGGAGTAGAGAAGCCACTATGCAACGACATCGCACTCGGCGAAGAATACCCACTCTTGGTGCCGTCAAAAAGCTTCGGAGCCTGAAGGTAGCTTGCCGTTGTCTCGTTGATCTCGGCATATTCTGTCGTTTGTGGCTGTTCTTTGAAATAACTGGGCCGGCCATTCTCGTAGACCAGTTCGAGACGTGAGTCCTGCTGAAACTCTCCCATGGGTGCGCTGACCCACTCTCCATTGGCTAGCTGAGCTACGGTGCAATGCCATGGCGTAGTGTAACCTGTTCTTGTATTCAGGAGGCTTATGGACAGTTTGTGCTCTCCGATCGATTCGTGTATCGACAGTCTGACGTGGTTTGGGAATGCTTTCTTTACTGCTCCAGCAAACGCCTAGCGTCATTGTTAGCATTCCAACCTGAAAACGTTTTGCTTGAACGAGAAACCAAGATACTTACATAGCCTCTCATAAGCATCTCCTTTGCGAGATACTTGACGTCTCTCTTGTATTGATTGCGGCCACGATTCTCTCCAGTGTTGAATATGTATTTCAGATCTGACTCTAGAAATTTGCGGTATCCGAGATATGTCAGTTTTGTATCTGGATTGACTGTAATTTCCTTGTCAATGTCGATATCTGGTCTTCCGAACTCATTCAAGAGTACTCTTCTGAAGTTTGTGCAGTTGGCGACGTATGTGATTTCTCGCATCTTGTCAGGCAGCGGAAAGTCGAGTAGGTCTCGTAATCGTGAGAAAGCAATAGAAGTGAACTTCTTCTCTACAGCCATCTCTCGCAGAGCCTCTCCGTAAGCCCAGGTATCGCGATCTGATATCGAAAGTAGGTCTTGAATCTGGATCAGCAGGCTTTCTATGTACTATTGAGAGGTTCGTTACCATTGTATGTAATACCGTCTGAGATGATTGTTACTCTTGCTCCAGGCTTATAGGTTTGCTTGATTCTTATGCACATGCTGTGCAGTCTCTCGAGGGCCAACTCTTCAGCTTTGTCTGGAAGAGAGCCAAGCACTTTGTAGACTTTGTTGGCTGACTTGAAAGGGAACGCTGGTAAACATGCTTCGACACGTTGACCTGCTTGAACAAAAGCGTCAATCCTCGATAAAAGATGTTCTCTCCCAGCAGCCAATCGCTCCCTAGAGTCATTGAATTTGTTGAGCGCATGCTCATGCATGATTTCAAGGATGTCATTAGATATTTTGTTCATTGGACTTGGTGTGATGGTGACGGTTGGTTCCTCTTGTTGGAGTGATAGGCCGAGTCCGACTGAACTGTCATGGCGTGTATATTGTGGAGGCATTTGGCTTCGTACCAAATCGATGGAGCAGCTGTCGGATGTTCCATACATGATTGTGAATGGATAAGATGATTCTTAAAACAGAGGGATAATTGGAGTATGTGCCCAGGCTTCTGTCATGGTCTTGGGCCGCTTTAAACAGTTAAGTAGTATGTAAGATTGGCGGTGGAGGAAGAGATGCAAGGACCACATGGGTCTCTAAATAGAACAACAACTGGTAGCCCTTGTCAGGGCATGTGGATTTGTGCTCGAACTTGGAACACAGAGCTCAGCGCAGGCAGAGCTGACAGTCAGTTCCCCGGTAGGCGTAATTGTAGTGGCTAGGCATGTAGGTGGCCTTGTGTCTGGACGAGATAGCAGACGAGGAGAATGGGACTCTGCTATCCGTAGCGGCATAGCCTGACACGTCTATCTGACACAGGAGGGGGTACAGCAACGGCTGTGGTGTGCTCAGGGCAACATGATGCTAGCTCAGTATGCATTCACCTGCTCGATAGCCAAGCCACGAGCTCAGGAATGAGAAGGTTAGCAAGTGAGAGCGTTGATGCGTCCAGCGACAGGGAGGGGCGGAGTAGTGTGGTGTGCCGGCTAGCTGGGATGGCAGGGGCCCTAGTCCCGACTAGTGCAGGGCAGTGATGGAGACGTCGCAGTGACTTGCAACCACACTCTGATCATAGAGGAAGCTCACTGCATGCCAGCCACAAACATGTAACTCTAACTTGCAACAACACACCAACACCGGGGATGCGCTTGTTGAATGTGCCCGGCTGTAGTCTGACGTCCTGCAGACATCTCACCCATGTTCAGGTGGCGAAGGAAGGCTAAGCGCAGCGAGACGATCGCGAAGCCACCAAGCACACCAACGCTCCGCAGCGTCGTACTACATATAGGCTATAGACATCTACTTAGTGGGGGCGGTGTGCTTCTTTACTCCGTTTGAGTGGATTATTAGGTATGGCGTCGCTTATTCTTTCCATGCTTGCTTAACGCTGATTGCTAGGGCAGATGCTCAACGCTTCTAATAAAAAACATAAACCACAAAAACTAACGACTTAAGCGGCTACTGCCGGCCTGTCAGATATCATAGGGACTTTGTCATAGCCCGCCTAGTTTAAGCTGAATGTGAACAGCTCTTTCCTCTGGTACCCTAAATCTCTTCAGGCATACGCATGCAGCTCATCGACCCAACATCACAGATGCTACGTGCCTGTACCCTCGATCATGTAACAAGCACAATGGTAGAGAGTGGCTCTATAGGTGATATCTGGGGTGATGAAGCCAGAGACCACTTGAGGTTGGCTAATGTAGTTTCCAACAATAGGTAATGTGTTCCACAGCCCTTGCGTGTGACCCCTAAATTCGTTCATTCTCTGGCCCAGTAGTACAATGGCGGCTAACAAGGTAACCAGACGTTTACGTTGTACACCTCACGCCACAAAACCAACGCCTATTTTCCCAAGGCGTATGTAAGCATTCAGTACTGGAACCGGTTCGCATTGGCCTACATCTTGGACCAACTCAGCCGCAGCCGCAGCCGCGAAACTCCACTCGGCTCTCGCACGGGCCGATAGCGAACGGGAAGTGCGCCAGTAGAATCCAGCAGGCAAAACTTGCTCATGTTGAAATATGCTCACGGCAGATGGTTGAGCTGATTCACTTGGCGAAGGATTGTGCAATTCTGCTCGTAACTTTGACCTTCTACATGTGGCAGCTACTAGTTCCACGATAGGCCAAGGTGCCCATGTCAGCGCGGATCGACATTCTCCCCCACGCCTCCATTCACCGTAAGATCGCTTGTGTGTGGCGTTTGGGCGCCATGCGCAGCGGCGGACTTGCTTCTCTGACCGGCACAGCGGGTGGGCCGTTGAAAGGGGCTTCGGGACCATGTCTGTCTGCTGTAAGGCTGACGCATGTCCGGCCCCCGGGTCACGGATCCATTCATCTAATCCACGTGTAGTCAAGACCCCTAGCCTGAGCGTTATATGCGCAAATGCAACCACCTGCATAGGTCGGAGAGGCACTGCACATACATGTATGTGTCCAAGCGCACACCTACCTGTGGCTCACTAGCACCTCGTTATCGCCATGAGCTCGCAGCCGCCGCCCTATCCCTATCCCTATTCGCAGGCTGCCCAGCTTGACCCGCGCATCACACTGCCCCGGCCAGCCATAGATTCCGCGTTGGCGCCTATTGTCGACTCGGTGCTGCTGCCGGAAGAGCTGGACATCAAGTTTATGCGGGGCTTCGATCTGAGTGTGACCCTTGACATGATACTCGAGTCCCATCCGCATCTGACGCATGCACAGCATGCAGTTCCAGGCTCAGCGGGCCATACTATTCCTCTATCTGTCTTCATGCCCGCCACAGCACAGGGCCCGCTGCCACTGCTGTTCTTTGTGCATGGAGGAGGAATGATCTCAGGTGACCGCTTCAGCACCATTCCTTCGCTTGTCGACCTGGTGCAAGATGTGCCATGTGCTATTGCGTCAGTCGAATACCGCCTGGCCCCCGAGACTCCTGCTCCTGGTGGCGCTGAGGACTGCTACAATAGCATTGTATGGATGTCGACGCATGCTGCAGACCTGGGAATTGACGCCGCTCGAATCATTGTTTGCGGCTCATCAGGTGGTGCCCCTCTTGCCGCAGCCGCCTGCCTGATGGCACGCGACAGATCAAACCCTGCCGTTCCTATCAAAGCCCAGATGCTTCTTTCGCCTATGCTGGACGACAGGTGTAACAGTGTCTCGGACCGTCAGTTTGAATACGGTGTGCCGTGGAATGGTCTTACCAATCGTGCTGCCTGGAACCATGCCTTGGCTGGTCAGCGCGACACGGAACATGTTTCCCATTATCAAGCACCGTCCCGGGCCACCGACCTGTCCAGTCTGCCACAAGCATACATTGATGCTGCAGAGTGCGAGGTCTTCCGCGATCCTGCTATCATGTACGCCATGAATATGTGGCGTTCTGGTTCTTCTTGCGAACTGCACGTCTGGCCGGGAGGCATCCACCTATTCGATGCCATTGATAACCCTGAAGTACCCGTGGTCGGTGCAGCAATTGCTGCTAAGCGCGCCTGGCTTAAGAGAATGATGAGAGATCCGAGGGCTGACAAGGACACTGCATGATGGGTAACATTTCTCGGTCTCCTGTCACATGCCAGTCCGCCCTACGGTGTTGCGTTGTCTGACTGTTCACGTTCCAGAAGAAATTCATTTGTTCATTAGTGGCATTGCCTAGACTTAGGCCAACTTCCATCAGCCTCACTGTATAGATAGTATCATCTAGGAGAAATCAATCATGTTCTGTCATTTTACTGCTCCCAAAACCAACATACTTGGCAAAAAAAGCTGCATAGACGTTTATCTTTTATAGTTATGCGTCAAAGTTTTCCGCGTAAGATACTAGTCAAACCAACTAGACATTGACATATCAACACTCAGTATTCCTAGTTGAGTAAAGATCGGCGTCTACAGGGATTGTTAATCCCAATGCAACATCCCGGTCAAGCGATTGAGCTACATCGGGGATTAGCAAACTCGGACTCGTAGTTTCGGCTTATTTAAGTTTGGAATACATGCCTGGTCTGTCCTTTCCCTGCAATCCCTTGGCTGCCCTAGTTAAGTGAGCATGTTTGCGCATTTTCGTCAGCTTACCTGCAGAGAAGCGGATACACACAGCTATTACACTAAGAACTAGCTGGAGGGAAAATGCACAACTCATGCGCCACGCCTTGGTATTGTTTTTTTAGCGTTTCTCAACCGCCACTCAGCAGGGTCATCTTGACCAAGGAGGTGGTGTTGGTAACGGGTGCACTACAGAATGTGGGTTTGGACGAGTGTCCCGCCTGACATTAGTGCTAGACTGTACTCCGAAGGATCTCACATCGACACAAAAGACATAATAGTGGTCCCGGGAAACAATGTGCGGTAGTCTCATCACTTTGCCTTGTAACCCAAGACGAATACAAGTTGATATATTTATAGGACTAGTAAACTGTCATTGTTCACATAAAATCCTCACAACTTGGAGATATTAACCTCTACTCCTAGCCTTGTAGTAAGCAAGTGAACAGCGAATCAAACATGGGAGACATTGAACAACCCCTCAAACTACGCTCATTGGGTTGGTAGCCATATGTCGAATTTCAATCGTATGGTTGTAACTGAATAAACACAGGAAGATCTGAACAGCTTTCGGCAGTCTCTCACGCCCTAGGTTTTTTCAACAATGTAGGCTTATCTGCACACTACTTAGTATCCGAAAATGCTGCTCAGTATGACCTACAACGCATTATTTACGCTGCATTGGCACATGTAATACAAGAACACACCATTTTGTCAGCCATTCCTGTCGACGAAGACTCTCCAGATTCGTACTGGGTCCAGCTGCCGACGATCGATCTCGCACGCTCCGTTACTTTCTTGACTCGAGCACGGCCACTGGAAGAGACTGGAGAAGACTCCGAGCTCGATGAGATACTTCAAGAACAACACAATATAGACTTCAAGTCCGATTACGGCACCCTGCCATTCTGGCGCTTGGTAATTCTCCGAGATGCAGAGAATGAGCTCAGCTTCACTGCCTCATTCATTTTCTACCACGGCATCGGCGACGGCGCAGCCGGCCTAGTTTTCCACAAATCCTTCAGCGAAGCACTAAATGCAGCTTCCTCATCAAGCGAATCCTTGTCAAACACTGCCACACTCGTCCACTCCTCACCCGACGCCCGACTCCTCCCAACCCTCGAACAACTACACCCACTCCCCCTCAACCCAAATCCAGTCGACCACCACACTCAAGGCCTCCAAGAATGGACTGGCGATTCCATCCGCCTCCCCTGCCAAACCCACTGCCGCACACTCTACCTCTCTCCCACCTCCTCCACCGCTTTCGTGCAAAAATGCAAGTCAAACAATCTATCCGTCACAGCCGGTCTCCAAGCAACCCTCGCCCACTCCCTCTTCGACACCCTCCCACCAACCACAGAAGCACTCACAGGCATCATACCCATCAACCTCCGCCCCTGGCTCAACCTCCCCGCAACCACCGCCACAAATGCAATTGGCAGCTTCATCGACGCTATCAAAGTGCAAACACCGCGTTCACACTTTGCCACTGAGTCGACAGACACAGTATCTGGACTGCCGGCTGCACGTCACACTGCAGACGCGATATCCAAGTATCTAACCAGCAACCCCTCACCGTCAGGTGAGCCCTACACTTCTGTCGCATTTTTCGGCGCAATACCCGATGTCGCTGTTGCGTTTAAGAGTATGATCGGGGCGCCGCGGGATGCCGCGTTTGAGATTTCGAATGTTGGACAGTTCGCAGGTAGTGCGGGGGATGAGGAGGCGGCGAAGTGGCGCGTGGGTAGGATGGTATTTAGTCGTAGTGCGGTGGCGTTTGGGGCTGCACTGAATACGAGTGTTGTATCTGGTGCGGATGGGGGGTTGACAATTGGGTTTTGTTGGCAGGAGGGGGTGCTGGAGGATGGGTTTGTGGACGGGGTTGTGAAGGGGTTCGGGGGATATTTTGAGTCCGAGGGGTTTTAGCACGAGAGTTACTGGGAATAGTTGGAGTGGATAGATTGGTATGAAGGAATGTAGAAAGGTTTGTGCATCCTTGAGTGTTGGTGTAGGTTACATGGTTTTCTTAGATTCGGGATGTTGTAGGGGGAGTGGTATCAAAACAGCCCGGATAGTGCTGATCGTAAGGAGCAATAGCAACAATATACCAGCCAGAGTTTAATATGAGAGCAGAGAGGGATAACGCAATCTTCTTGTTCTCAGACCTTATCATCTCACTGTGCAAAGAGAAATACGCATAGACTAAGGCTGCGAAAATCTTTCTCTCCTTCTTAACACATGAAGAACATGCTAGGACGCTCTCTGTTATAGTTGGGCAAAAGCCAACTTTATCCTCTTTCATCTCGTAGCTAGCATGCCAGTCCACAGAGTTACTCGCAACGCCGGACTGCTCTACTGATAACTCATTCGAAGTACAAGAGCTAAGTGCCATTTTACGGAGCTGCGGCTAACTCACACGCCAGTCAACAAACGAGTCAAGGCTCTCCTAATACCCAGTTCTCTTATCTTTGGCCCGTTATAATTAAAGTACAATACAGTCAACTTCTCTATAACAGATACCATGGCCTCGCACATTGTACACTCGTTTTCTACAAGCTTACAAGAAGGCTTAGTGCTAAAGAAGCTTCTTTGAGATCTCTTTCCGTAAAACGCTGCTGCGACTCTTGAAACAAAAGTCGCGTATGTGGAATTTTAAGGTTGGTACTAGGTACAACAAATGTCTAACATACCGTGGTAGGATAAGTCGTTGTGCTCAAAAGATCAAGAAGCAGTCGGAAGTGAGGGGGGATGATAGCAGGAAAGCGATTGTTGGTGTGGAGGTTATTGGAGAAAGTGAGATATCTGTGCGAGATAGAAATCTCGGGTTGTAACAATGGTCAGATTAGGTGTTAGTTCGACATGATATAGGGAGAGGTACTGCTGGCGGTTTAGAAGTGGTTGGAGTATTATTGCGATGGTGAGATGGAAGCTGTGAATGAGATGTTCACATGAATTAGTGGCAAGTCTGCGATATACATGTAGACACATCATCATGTAGTTGGCTTAAGCAGAAGTGTGTAAAACCGTATTACGATCACATGATAATCACACGACTCCACATTTTCCATCCACATGTTTCCGAATACAAGATTCAAGTTTCAATCTAATGTCGATCCAAGCGTGCCAGGACGCATGGTGTAACGGGACAGTTTTCGCTTCGGAGACTCGCTATCTCTTATTTGCAAGACTATCGACCTGCGGTTGGCGTGTCATGTTCTAGAGCTGGTTCTCTTCTAGGGCATCAGCCTCCGGCACGAATTTTCGCATGTTACCTTTGCTGTCGATCGTTTCGTCAACGCTGATGATCGACCTTTTGTCGATACCCCCCTATCTTCTCGTAATGTAAAGGACATCTGCAAAGATCGGAGGGTCTATTAGGAAGCAGAACTCAGAAAGAATAGATCCCTAAAATCTAAAGGGTATTCTAGCCTAATAAATATACAGTCTAGTAGTTTCGCCGATAACAACGATAATCGTTAAAAGCGTTCTAGTGCGTTGGAACCCTCTAGCGTCTCTTAGTATGCAGACTGCCTGTAGTAGCGTGCTTAGATATCTATGCTCTATGTCGTTACGAATTCGACGCTATATCTATAGTAGGTACACTGCTAAGAATAACTATAGTGTGTACCAACTGTGAAGCGTCTGCTCTCGCGCACCTACTGTGCGTTTAGGCACTTCCCTCCTTCTCGCTAGTTATTATGCAGGGCGGCTCAACCCTCTGCCACTCTGCTTATAGCGTCAACTAGTCTATCTATTGTCTTTGTGATGCCGCCTTGGACACTGCGGGATAGCCTTACGCCTGGTGTGGTTGGCATGGAATGAAAGATTACAGTCGTGACTAATGCAGCGCAGACGTCGATGAAGCGAACTTGCGTCATTTAGTGATTAGTGCAATTACTTGGGCGTGAGAGCACTGGCAGGCTCGCACGTGTGGCGCGCTTGGGTTCACCTTTTCCGTCCTGTATCAGTACAGGCTAGGCAACATCAACGCGCTCCGGGTCTTTGCTACCCTGCTGAGCTTGCAGCGCCAAAGGCGCGTTTAACATGGCTGCAGCTGCTCCATAGCCTTGCGGCTGGCGTTCTGCATGCGCATGAAGCCACAACTGCCCCGCCTAAGGCCTCGTGCGATGCCATCGCCAGACCAAAAAAACAACACAGCGCGCTCGACTCAGCTTGCGCATTTGGGAACGCTGTTCTATTATCGAGACATCTAAAGCTGCACGGCTATCTGTTACCCTCCTCTTACGCCGACCTCTACAGCGCATGGCATGGCCATCACGCCCTCGTCCTACTAGGTTGCCATATTGAACCTCTCGCATCGCGTTTCCACCACGCGCCTACCACACACCTACACGAGCCGATGCGTCTTCTAAGGTATGAAGAAGATGGCTGCCTTACGGTCATCAGCTTCGACGATAACGCGATACCCCAATATGCGATACTTTCACACACCTGGGGGGCAGATGCAGAGGAGGTGACTTTCGCGGACCTTGCAGAAGGCGGCGGCAAGCACAAGTCTGGCTACAAGAAGATTCGCTTCTGTGGAGAGCAAGCACATCAGGATGGACTGCAGTACTTCTGGGTCGACACATGCTGCATCGACAAGTCGGATAAGGCTGAACTCTCTTCGGCTATCCAGTCTATGTTCCGCTGGTACCAAAACGCGACGAAATGCTATGTATACCTATCAGATGTATCGGCAAGGAAGAGGAAACTCGACGATATGCTTACCCAGTTTACTTGGGAGCCAGCCTTTAGGTCCAGTCGATGGTTCACGCGTGGGTGGACGCTCCAAGAGCTTCTCGCGCCAAGCATAGTCGAGTTCTTCTCGCAAGAATGGGAGAGGCTTGGTGATAAGATATCATTAAAGTCACTAGTTAATAAGGTTACTGGTATTCCATATAGAGCGCTCGACGGAGCTCCTCTTTCCCAATTCAGCGTTGACGAGCGGCTGCGGTGGAAGGGCGACAGGCAGACTAAACGCGAAGAAGACGCATGGTACTCATTATCGGGCATTTTTGATGTCGAGATAGCGCCAGCTTATAGCGAAGGGGCGGTTAGCGCATTTAAACGTCTAAAGGACGAGATTGATAAGCTTGAGATATGCATTCGAGACATACGCCACACGGATCCGCGTTATGATAAGAAGCGCATTGAGGACACAAAAGGCGGACTGCTAGCTGACTCCTACCGCTGGGTTCTGGATAACACCACTTTCCAGCAATGGCAGCAGGACCCGCACAGCCGACTACTATGGGTGAAAGGAGATCCTGGTAAAGGCAAGACGATGTTGTTCTGCGGCCTTGTCAACGAGCTGCAAAGTTTGATGCCCCGAAATGCCCTACTGTCGTACTTCTTCTGCCAAGCGACTGACTCGCGCATTAACAGTGCCACGGGCGTGATACGAGGACTGCTGTATATGCTCGTGGATCAGCAACCATCACTTATGTCGCATATCCGCAGAAAGTACGATCATGCAGGCAAAGCCTTGTTCGAGGATGCGAATGCTTGGGTAGCGCTGTCTGAAATCTTCACAAGCATGATGCAGGATAAGGGCCTGAAGACAACTTATCTTGTCGTTGATGCTCTCGACGAATGCGTGGTGGACCTGCCTAACCTCCTCGATCTTATCGTCCGTACTACCACGCTATCGCCTCGTATAAAGTGGCTTGTGTCAAGTCGAAACGAGAGTCACATTGAGGAGAAACTCAAGTCAGTCGGTGATCAAGCAAAGCTGAGCCTGGAGCTGATGCAGAACGCGGAGCAGGTAGCTCGAGCTGTAGATGCATATATCGACCATAAGCTGTCTTGTCTCGAGTCACTCGGAGAAGCGGATCTGCGAAAGCAGGTGCGGGATGAGCTGCACCGGAAGGCGAACGGCACCTTTCTTTGGGTAGCTCTGGTGATGCAAGAGCTTGAGAAGCCTGAAAGCTGGGACCCTCTCGCGGTGGTTATGGAAGCACCAGCGGGCTTATATCAGCTGTACGATCGCATGATGGAGCAGATCCAGCGCCTGTCAGCAAGGAATGTGAATATCTGCCAGTCTCTACTCTGTACTACAGCTGTCGCATACCGTCCACTGTACCTTGCTGAAATGGGCAGCTTGTGCAGGTCGGCAGGTCAGGCTATAATGGTAGCGGAGACTGTAAGAAAGATTGTAGTCATGTGCGGATCGTTTCTCACCGTTCGCGACGGACAAGTCTACCTCGTTCATCAGTCAGCCAAAGACTATCTAAGTGACAAGATGCGGGCTGCAGCCCTTCCGTCTCAGAGCGAGATGCACTACAACCTATTTGCCCGGTCACTCGAGCTGCTGTCCAGCACATTGAAACGTGACATGTACGATTTGGTGGAGCTAGGTTTCTCGATCGACGAGGTCAGAACACCTTATTCTGATCCGCTAGCGACCGCGCGCTACTCTTGCGTCTACTGGATCGATCATCTGTACGAGTCAAAGCTCAAGCCTTTAGGGAGCAGTGTCGGTGGCCTGCAAGCCGCAGATGTTGTCGATGGTTTTCTAAGGAAGAAGTATCTCTACTGGCTGGAAGGGCTTAGTCTGTGCAGGAGCGTAGGGAACGGTGTCGTGTCCATGACAAAACTGTGGTCGTTGGTGCAGGTAGGTCGTCTAAAGTCTGCGTGTAACCTCGATGCTAACGCCAGTAGGAGATGTGTGACCAGGATAGACTTGCTCAGCTTGTTCAAGACGCATGGCGATTCATCATGTACCACAAAGGAGCAATCGAGGGTTACCCTCTTCAGACCTATGCATCCGCACTGCTGTTCAGTCCGACAGGTAGTCTGATTAGACAGCTGTTCCAGCACGAAGAGCCAGAAGCAATTCGTATCAGGCCAGCTCTGAGCGACGAGTGGAGCGCCTGTCTGCAGACGCTCGAGGGCCATAGCGATATTGTTAGCTTTGTGGCCTTCTCGCACGACTCGACGCGGCTGGCGTCGGCGTCTAGCGACAGGACTGTTAAGGTATGGGATGCGAGCAGCGGCGCGTGTCTGCAGACGCTCGAGGGCCATAGCAGTGCGGTCACCTCAGTAGCCTTCTCGCACGACTCGACGCGGCTGGCATCGGCGTCCCATGACAGGACTGTTAAGGTATGGGATGCGAGCAGCGGCGCGTGTCTACAGACACTTAAGGACCATAGCGAGACTGTCAGCTCCGTGGCCTTCTCGCACGACTCGACGCGGCTGGCGTCGGCGTCTTGGGATAGAACTGTCAAGATCTGGGATACGAGTAGCGGCGCGTGTCTGCAGACACTTAAGGGCCATAGCGATATTGTCAGCTCTGTGGCCTTCTCGCACGACTTAACGCAGCTAGCGTCGGCGTCTAGCGACAGGACAATTAAGGTTTGGGATGCGAGCAGCGGCGTGTGTCTTCAGACGCTTGAGGGCCATAGCCATTATGTCAGCTTCGTGGCCTTCTCGCGCGACTCGATGCGGCTGGCGTCGGCGTCCCACGACAGAACCGTTAAGGTATGGGATGCGAGCAGCGGCGCGTGTCTACAGACACTTAAGGGCCATAGCGATACTGTCAGCTCCGTGGCCTTCTCGCACGACTCGACGCGGCTGGCGTCGGCGTCTTGGGATAGGACCGTCAAGGTATGGGATGCGAGCAGCGGCGCGTGCCTGCAGACGCTCGACGTTGGCAAAGCTCTTTACGACTTATCCTTTGATCCTACTAGTTCTCGCCTCTACACTGAAATAGGCAATATCGACATTCAGAGCTTGAAGGTTTCTAACATGATAAACATCGCAGAATCTGCGCACCCCTTGTACGTGGGTACTGGCTTCAGCTCAGACGGTATATGGAGTCAGCATGCTGGCAACAACGTGCTGTGGGTACCGTCAGAGTATCGACCGTCGCATTCGTGTGTGAAAGGGAGTGTGGTTGGTGTAGGTACTGGATCTGGCAGAGTGTGGTTTTGTAGTATAGACCTCTAGGTCCCTCGTGTGTGTTTGTCGCAACGAGGCAACAGTCTTTTCTTATTTTCTACAGTCTCTTTCTATAAATCTTTATTTGATAGAGAGGGACAGGGTTGCACACGAACATACAGTCTCTGCATTGCCGCCTAGAAGCTTCGAGGACCGTTAGAGAAGGTCGCTGTCGTTATGTTACATCACTCGATGAATCCAGGATGGTTCTCGCTGTTTCCTAGCTTTTTTCACCAAAGAGAAGGCACGAGTAACTAAGGGTGGCATGATAGGGTGTTGGGGTGTGTAGGTACGATGTAAGCAGATCAAGCATGTTGACGTATACGCTTGCAGGAAGCCGCCGGCATGCGCCACGGCCATTCTTCGCAGGTAATCTGCTATAGGCATAGCGCCAAACTCGTTACAATAACATACAGCGACATCTGAGCACGCTACTGCAGGCTGTCCGCATGCCAAGTGCTACTAACAGCGCACGTCCTATGGGACGCGTTTTGAAGATCTTGCCGTCCGCGCGGAGTGAGTGAGTGAGTTGTATTTAACGTCTATATATAAAGCCTCCCTTGGGGCATGTAGACGGGCTATGCCTATGGCTTGCCGTACTATGCCTAGGATGCCTATTCTTATTTACATGATTGTAGTGGTCTAGTAGTGGTCGTTCCGCCTGTTGATCGCCACTGAAATGATTGTGCAGTAGGTGTGTATCCGCCTTTAGTTGTCGTAGCTGATGCTTACTAAGGAGTGTGTAGTATAGAGGACATAGGAAAGAGAAGAGAAGGAGAGAGAAGAGAGAGAAGAGAAAGAGAGAAGAGAAAGAAAGAAAATAGGAAGACAGGAAAAGTCTTACAAGTGTAGGCTCTAGTGAGGCCTATATATTGTGTTATAGAAACCTGTGATTTCTAGGAAGGCGGCAAAGTCCTCTGGCTCTTCCCAGAGCGTCTGGAGGTACTTGATTGCTTCGCTAGGTGTCCTAGGCGGTGCTGGTGGCCGTCTTGGCCAGCGCTGGAAGACGTTCGCTGTTGTGGTTTTTCCGGCATAGTGCGATGTGCAAGGGGGTCTTTGGCGCCCGCAGGAGCACTCAGAGTCGCGTTGTCATGGTGGAACTTCCGGTGGTACCATGCAAAGTCTCCGTGGCTAGTTCGGA